ACTGCTAACAGTTTAAAATTTAAAGTACATTCAGCCTAAAATATTTACTGATTTCTTAGGAGACAGCCTGGACCCCAAAATAATATTTTCTGCTTCTTTTCCTGAACCTCCCAAACTTTTGGGGGTAATTCCAACCAGAATGGTCGAAGAGATGTTTGTATTTAAACATTTATTTGCAATCATAGGTTTTAGCAAAAATTGAGATGTTGGACACATACAGAGAGAAAGATCTTTCCCAGCTAGGCATAACAATATTTTGCTCCATTTATCTGAAATTCTGCTTCTAATTTTTAAAGAACATCACATGTTCTCTATTACAGTGAGATACTGGGAGAATCTTACCACAGCTGAGCCCAAAATTTATGTTGTTATTGAGAAATTTGTTAAGCAAGTTTTGCCCCCTTTTACAACTTTTCTTGCCACATTTGTTAAGTGAATCACTGCAGTTGTTAAATTAGAAACATGATTATTAATTGAATCTGGTTTTCCCATTGGATTTGCTTGTCAGAAGTTCAGTTCTCAAAAGAGGATCACATGACTCTGGGATACTGCAACTGTCATATATTTGACTCAGTTGTCAAGCATCTGAATGTAAATCACATGACCATGGGCATGCTACAATGGCCATAAGTGTGAAAAATGATTATAAGTCACTTTTTTTCAGTGTGGTTGTAACTTAGAATGGTCACTAAACGAACTGTTGTAAGTCGAGGACTACCTGTAAATGCATATTTATTCAGACTTAGACTCTTGCATTTAGACTGGCTGGGCGGCTGCAGTATTATAATTCAGGCTGACTATTTAAGCCATGATTGGGGCAGAAAAAGTATGTTATGAGAGCTTATATCAAATAGTATCAGATTCAAGTCCATGAAATATTCTTTGAATTTATGTTCAACTACTGTTAGATATGTTTGTCAGAAATACAAACCAACTATTTATACTATTTGAACAGTTTGAAAGAGAGCCTGGGGCTGGTTGTAGGACAGATGCAGGAGTATAATCTAAACTGTCTAGATTATTTGTATGTATTCTTTCCATACAACAGAATGTCTTAAAATAGCTACAGAACGAAGGTGTAAGACAAAGATTAATTGCTCTAGCAGGTCTGTCAAACTGAAGCCCGCAGCCCGGATAAGTCACACACAGGCTACCTCCACCCCAGCTCCACAAAGGCAAAAAACATCACGATACGTCATGATTTGGCCCGTGATGCAATCGAGTTTAATATCCATGCTCTAGAGCTATAGTAAGCAGATTGCGTCAAATCACCATTTCATGCTGATAATTTCTGGTCCAATCCTTTGTACCTCTTGTTAGAAAACTCAGGCAGTTGATGATGGGAAACACATGTGTCTGAGTACTGGAAAACCATTGTCACAGTAAACAATACCAGCCAGATACACAGCTTGACTTCATATATGGGAAGGCAACTTTCTGTGTTCCTGGGGAGTTGCTTTGCCATTCCATTCCACTAGTAAGTAGTTGAAGATCTCAAGTCATTCTCAGGAAGAAGTTTCAGGGACTATACAGATTGACAAAACACAACTTCGATTCTCTGGGTGGAACAAAACTGAATTTAAAAAAAAAAATTGTAGGTTAATGTTAGTTCCTTTAATTAGACTGCTTCAAAGGAAAGATGGGATAGATAAAATGAATAAATGAGTGCAATTATTTATTTGTGTTGAGTATGAAAGATTAAAAAAAAAAACCCCAGGGAAACCAATGTGATGTAGCAGGATTATGCAAGATGGGAACTTTCAGCAAAATAAAAGGGAAGGAAGTCACATATACTATATGACAGAAGAGAGTAAAGGAACATAGTGATTCATAAATACATTAAAAGAATAATGGAATGCTGCAATTGACCTTTAGAAAAAAGGGTTTCTGCTCTTTATTTTAACATACAAAGTATACTTCCACCTGTAAAAAAAATCATAGTGGAAGACATCATTTGTATTTATTCATAAAGCAATCCACCTAAATATACAAAGAAAGATTTGAGGTTTGCAACAAAAGCGTGTGTTTCAGCATACTGATACCTAAAGCATAAAAGGAAAACGAAAATAGGTTATTTTGGAAAGATTCCAGATTATTATTTTAGCTCATGCTAGAAAGACTGGTTCCAGTCATTCAATGAAGTAAATAAGTTTACCCAGGACACAACTCTTTTTTTAAAAAGAAAAAGAAAAAAAAGAAAGTCCTAGGAGAGAATCCAATATAAATTAGAATGCATATTCTGAATTCTGCTTTAATGCTTTGTTCTCTTTCTTAGTACCTTTTTATTACAAAGAAAAGAAATTATTCAGTGTTTTAGACATAAAATCTCTGTGGTTTTGAATTATTTACCAGCATTATAAAAATCCCTTTTTTAGTAATTAGCCATGAACTTATATTCATATAAATGGATGCCAACAGGTTTAAGCACCAAAGTGAAATCAGGCATAAAACATGACTGAAAGGCTTATAAAGCTAAAGAAATCCAAATGAACAAAAAGTTGGGATCTTCAATTCCATTATTTGCAGAATGGCATAAAGTGTACCCTGTTTCCCCCAAAATAAGACATCCCCTGATAATAAGCCCAATTGGGCTTTTAAGCGCATGGCAATAAGGCCAAGCGCTTATTTCAGAGTTCAAAAAAAATATAAGACAGGGTCTTATTTTTGGGAAAACACGGTAGGAATTTGTAGAGCTCAGTTTGTAAGATTAACAGAGATGTCTAAACATAAAGTGCATGAGCTTAGAAAAAAACAGCTTCTGGGATTGTGCTGGAAAGAGCATGATTTAAAAGAAAATAACGCAACCATTACACAATGTGTTTTGAGACATGTTTCCCTTTTATATGGACATTGCAGCAAGTTGCTACATGAAATAATAAGTAGTTCCTTTTTAATTAAAAAAGCAATTCATAAATATGTGCTATGAATACACAAATATTTGATTTTAAAGATAAAAGAGTTATGCAACTCTGTAAGCAGATACTTTTTTGTAATATATGCAGTTCAGTTGGAACTGAAGATTTTTATTGCTGCTTTGGTAAACCTCACTGCTTGCTGTCAATTTCAGATGATAGTAATGTAGGGTTACCATATTTGAGTAGCAAAACTCCAGATGGCCTCTAGATGGAAATAAAAATAAACAACCTTTCTGTTGCCAAAACTAATGATCATTTCAATTCTTGCAACCCAGATAAAAAAGTTTTAACAAATGGATTCACAATATTTCACAATACAGCTGTCAAGTGTGGGAAATCACACAGGCAGTTCAAGTTAATATATAGGTTTATTGCAAGCTTAAGCTTTTTACAAGAATCTAAACTACTAACAGTCAAAGCAAATTGGGGGTAGATAAGAGTCAACAGAATTCAAGCTGGGCTGGGTTTAGATCTCTTGTGGGCGCAAAAGGACTCAAGACTGATGATCCATTTGACCCCTCCTCCTTCCATGGGCTCAGCCTGGTCATTTCCTAAAACAGCTTTCCAAATTATTTTAGGGCAGGCTTCAAATGACATGAGTATATTCTGTGTGATGTAATATGTAATATGAATAAAGATTCTAGTCAATTAGTATTTAAGTAACTTTTCATCTTTATGTAAAGCAGAGGTTTAAAAAATGATCCCTCTGTGTGTGTGTCTGTGTGTGATCCTTGCAAATGAAAATATTATATATAAATATTATATAAATATATTTATTATATTTATTAAAAAGGGCACAAGCTGGTAATTTGAGCACAAAGAAGAATCCAGGAAGGTGTTTTTTTTTTTTTAGCAAAGTAAAAACAATGTTCTTAAATGAAACAAGAAAGCTACCAATAGTTAAAGAGCAATTCATCAAGCCATAATGTAGAACAGGAAATGGGGTAGAAGAATAACATAAAGAAAGGAGGGGAAAAGATCAGCAGGTAAAGTAGTAGAAGGGAAATCCTTTATGATTTGTCAAATGCTATCCTCCAGACAGGGATATATTCAGTTGCAAGTACTACCATCCAATATTTGCTATAAATATTGAATTTTCTTCAAAGAATCTTATTTATCTTCAGCTTCCTTTTATACTCTGAAGCCAAATTTGCCCATGATTTCCAGATGTTATTTTAATTCCAGCTTTAGCATTCTAGAATTAGTGTGACTATTTATTTAAATACTTGTGGGCAAGGTTCTCATGTCATCACAGAATTAATTTCTATTCCCTTAGCATGTGTAGTTAGAGTATAGACATGGATCACTGTCGTTTTGATTTTCTTGCCTTTGACTCAGACTGAGATCTTGCTATCATTTTTTATTGTAACCTAAACAAATATCAATAATAATGACAGCTACTCCAGTGTCACTCTCATTTTTCTTGTTTGCAGTGGATATATTGTTCCTCTGATGAAAAGTGACCCATTCCAGTCCATTTCAATTGACTGATTCCCAGAAAATCAATGTTCAATCTTGACATTTTTACTTGGACACCATCAAGCTGCCTTGATTCATGGTTCTGACATTCCACGTAAAGAATATGTAAGGGTATACATATTTTTGCAGCCTTGAATTTTTCCTTTGGGAAAGTAACATGCTGCAAAGGAGAACACCACTCTCAAATATAATCTTTTATTTCCAAGAATGTTTCTGGATCCCAAAGTCCCAAAAATGTCTTAGAAAGTAAAAAAGTAATGAAGAACTGCAGCTCAGATTTTTGTTTGGAAGGGAAAACACAGAAAGCCTCTTGAAATGCTAGAAATAGCACAGTTACCTCAATGGTTTGCTTACTGATAAATGGGACTAGTCACATTAATACAGCTTTTTAAAAAGCTTTTCGAGTCCACAAAAATTTATGCTATAGCAATCCAGTTTCTTACCTTACTTTTTGTTGCTTTTTGTTGAATCATAGATTCATGTGTTGGTGACTCTGGGAAAACATATCAAAAAAAATATAATTTGAAAAACAAGGGACATTATTTATGGGAAGGACTACTTATGAATAAATATGCAGTGTAACAGGGAAAACTTGTTTCTTTCCAGGAACCATGTGATAAGAACCAATATAAAAAGGAGCAGGAAGCACTCCATCCATCAATAAAAGATGCAAGACCATCAGAGCCCAATAAATATGAGGATCCTTTTGCATCTTGGCATCATAAGCAGGTAATACAATGATCAGTGGTAGGGAAAAAATAGATCTAGTTCTATGTGATATATCAAGAAGGATTTGTTTCTCAGAATTTTTAACAATAATAACAATAAAAATGATTAGCTATCATGAACTTATCTACAGTAGATATGTTTCAATCAGTTTTCAGTTGGGATTTGGCACCGAGATAGCCTTGGTTACCTTTACTGATGACCTCTTGTAGAGCCAGAATAGAGATGATGCATCCATCCTGCTGTTTTTTTTAATCTTTCAGCAGTTTTTAACACCACTAACCATAGTATCCTTATGAACCATCTTGCTGAGCACATTGTAAGCCGCCCTGAGTCTCTGGAGAAGGGCAGCATATAAATCAAATAAATCAAACCATCTGCAAGGACACCATTTTATGATTACTCTCATCCTTCTTTCATGGTTAGCTCCAGTCAGTGTTAGCAAGCAAGAAAAGGTTGTCCCCTAGACCCTATGATGTGAGGTGACCTTAACATTGTCCGTTCTTGTTTAATGTCTGCATGAAGCCATTAGAAGAGGGGTCTGATGTTCAGTATCATCATCCCTATGTTGATGATACCCAGTTATATCTTTTGACTTTAGACTGGCCAAATGAGGCTCTTGACTACTTGGAAACTATACAGGCCTGGTTGGGGAGCTCTGGTGGCACAGTAGACTAAAGCACTGTTATTAACACCAGCTGCCTGCAATTACTGCAAGTTCAAATCTCACCAGGCTCAAGGTTGACTCAGCCTTCCATCCTTTCTAAGGTAGGTAAAATGAGGACCCAGATTGTGTGGGCAATAAGCTGACTTTGTTTAAATATACAAAACGTATGAAGGCTATTGCTTAACTCATTGTTAGCTGCCCTAAGTCTCCGGAGAAGGGCAGCATATAAATCAAATAAAAAAAAAAACTGAGTGATTCAATCCTACAAAGCCTGAGTAGCTGTGGATTTTAGGGATCCAAGGACTTTCCGTCTATACTCTTGGATGGAGAAGCACTTCCCTGCTCAAGAATGATGCACAATCTGAAGGTCTTTTTGAAATTACAGCTCGAAAAGAAGTGGCAGCTATGGCCAAGGGAGGCTTCCCTCAGCTCCATCTTCTGGATCAGGAGGCCCTTCAGACAGACAGTCATGCTCTAGTCACCTGAAGACTTGACTACTGCAATGTATTTTACAAGAAAACTATTCAGAAGCTTCAGGTGATCCAGAACATAAATGTTTGAGGGTTGATGGGCATGCCTCAGTATGACTATATGACACCTTTGTTCTACAAGCTGTGCTGATGGCTGGTCTGTTTGGCTTCCATTCTGTTGCTGTCCCATAAAAGCCTTGCAGATCTTGTTGTTCTCCCCGGCCTTGCTGTGAAATAGATGGGGCCGCTTGTGTGTGTTTGCTATTTTTGTTTTCTGTTTATATTGTATCCAGATAACCTCATCTGGGGTTTGTACAGGCTTTTTTGTTACTGTTTGTAAACTACCCAGAGTTAGTTGGAGTTGGCAGTGTCCAGTTTGATTTAAATAAATAAAATTAAGTTTAATTAAAGTTTATGATAAATAGAAATGGATTTTTGTGTTTATAAACTATGAGCTCCTTTCAGCTTAGCTAGTTTCTTAGTTCAGAATTATTCTACATGTATTTCTTTGACATTTGGTTCCTGATTTTAAGACTTTAAGTAGATGCCTATTGATCTCTTATGTTCTATAGGAGGATAGACATGATGAACAATGGCCCAAACTGATATACAAACATAATCAGGTTCTCAATCTTTAGGTATTTTATAATTTTTAGGCATAACATTGCCAACGCAGAGCTTTGTTCAAAAATAAAACATTTTTGAACATTTGAACATTTCCTTTTTGAATTTTTTCTATCTTATTTTTGTGATGTTTATAGTAATGATGCATATAAATAAAATTCAGAGTGTCTTGGCTTATTATCCTGCTGCCATGCTCCTCCTCCAGCTTCTGGATTTTCATATGGGGCATTTTCCTCCTTGCTGAAGCATAAAGAGAACCTTTGGTTTCATCTCCTTCATTTGCCATGGTCTTGGGTTTGGTCGTAGTTTCTCCTCTCTTAGGTGGAACATGCTTGGTCATGGCCTCACTTGGGGGTGCAAGTAGTTGGCTGCTCAGTGACCCTTCTACCTCAACAGAAACACTCCACTGGGTGTTCTTTGAAGCTCAACTCTTCCGTACTCACCTTCAGGAGTTCCTTCTTTCTGGTGCTCCACCCGTTCACAGGCTTCAGTTCTGGCTTTGCATTACTGCATTACACTTGACTTTTAATAAAACTATATCTTTCTCAACAGATGGAGCAAAGGATCGTTTCTATTTAGTTTAAACTGTGGCAGGTCTGACATTAAGCCAGAACTGAGAATTGTGTGTCAAAATTCCTAAATTCAACTTTTCCCTTCCTTGACCTCCTCCCATTACTCACCCCCATGTAACCAATCAAGTTCCAGCAGAATATTTTCATGACAGTCAAAGCACAAGTTGGTATGCAGCTGGTATGCCAGGTGACCCTGAAGCAGTATCTTGAAGAGATACAGCACTTACTTTCATTTTCCCCCTTGCCCGCCTCCCTCTCCACAGTTCATAGCATTAACTGTAAGAGAAGACTTGCAAAGCCAGGGGGAGGAGTCAAGAAAGGAATCAATTTATAGTCTCTACGCAGTTACAAGAGAACAAATCCAATCCCCCTTGAATGCTGTTGAACTTTCTCTAGTTTAACCCAGGTGCAAATGTTAGTTTGAAAAAAAATGTGTGCATATACTTGAGCAATAAATCAATAATTTTGAACCTTTTGCATGTGGACTAGGTTCTTTGAGCCTGATATTAACTCATATGACATTTTAAACAATTTGGTTTAAAAAATAAAGTTGGTATCGTTGAGGTTAAATTGTTGTCCTATCCTTGAAATACCTGTCATTCGATATTGTTAGTAATAATTCTAACAATAAATAGAATGTAACTAACCCTGTCATTACAATATATAAAAATCACTACGTTTACTGCAAAAGCTATTAATATTAATAGGTGTTCATGAAAATTTGAATTCCATGTTGGATCATAGTCATAGCGGTAATGTTATATTTTTTTACTTCATAGAATAGACATGGCAGAAGCTTGGATATTCAAGATCGGCCTAAGGGCCCAAAGGATTGTAAAGAACTAAGTGCAACATCTATGTTCCGGAGACACACTGATCCAGCGCAACAAGTACAGGTACTGTACACTCATCTTTTTTTGAGAGAGAAAATTTAGTTTGACAGGTAATACAGCTCAACTTTTATTTTTTTAAAAAATAGATGAATTTAATTTTTCTATGTCACTGGAAGAGAAAAATGACATTAAGCGAAATGGAAAGCTTAGGGGAAGCTCTCAGGAACTTCCAAAATGGCAAAGAAACAGCAATACTTAATGTGATGGGAGGTATTTAATAATTTCAATATTGAAGTAATTTAAATAATTGATGGGTATGCATTTTAATTATATTATTTTAATTCATTTTAAGTGTAAATAAAGTCAATCTTAGTTATTGTCTTGATCCCACACACTATCTTTTGGTGGAACCCAGTACAGCTCTTAAATAACAAGCACAGCCTTCAACCCAGAAGTAGCTGGGTGCGTGTATCATGACCTTTGGTTTATAACATATTATGGTACCTATGAAAACCAAGAAACCTAAAGATAACTTTGTGGTTTCTGTTAATTAACTTTGTTAATTAGAACAAGTGCTCACATAGAGGTAGCCCTTGACGTACAACAGTTCGTTTAGTGACCATTTGAAGTTACAGCACTGAAAAAAGTGACTTATGACCGTTTTTCACGCTTATGACTGTTGCAGCATCCCCATGGTCATGTGATCAAAATTCGGATGCTTGGCAACTGGTTCATATTTATGATGGTTGCAGTGTTCCAGGGTTATGAGATTACTGGTACCTTTTATGATCTTTTGATAAGCAAAGCCAATGGAGAAGCAAGATTCACTTAAAAACCATGTTACTAACTTAACAACTGCAGTGATTCACTTAACAACTGTGGCAAGAAAGGTTGTAAAATGGGGCAAAACTCACTTAACAAACGTTTCACTTAGCAACAGAAATTTGGTGCTCAATTGTGGTTGATGACTACCTATAGTCATAAGCATCCTGATAACAAATCTATCAGTTACTCTCCTTCCCTGTCCAAAAATGATGGAAAACATCATTCTGGCAGCCATGACACTGTGATTGAAGCTCTACCTATTTTTTATGTGTGCTGTGATTTCTTTTACCACAATCTGTGGATCCCTCTGCTGGAATTCTTTGGTAAAGTCTTAGTTTTTATTTTTACAACAAATCTACGTATCAGTACATTTTGTATGCTTAAGTGCCAGTCCACCTTGCTAGGAGAAGCCTTGCAACTGACATACTATAAAGCAAAATGCCAATGTTTTATAATCTTTAGAAGGATCAGAGTGTGGGTATGGATAGGCATAAAGCAAGACACATAGAAAGCTAAGAAATTAAATTCTGTACTGTTTATTATTATGACAGTCCAGTGTAAAATATAATTACAATTATTCTAGTGACTAAACATTTATGTACATAGTAACCAAGCATCTATATACTTCCATTAAAGCTATACTAATAGAAATTATTGAAACCTCTGCTCTTATACTGTCTTTTCTGAACTGCTGTTTTTTCTTTCTCTACACACTTGTTTAACTACAGCATGGCCCACCTATATTTTCTTAGCCTACTTAGATAGAGTAGACCATAATCCATCCTACTTATGGCATAATCTGTTTTTTTCTCCTTAACCCACTCTTTCCCAGCATCAGAACTATACTGACTTACTCCACCTCAATTTTATCTGCTCTGGATTTTTCTATACTTTTTCCTTCAAAATCTACATGCTAGTGTTCAGGTAATTCTAAAGAGTTTAGACTTTTTTCTTTTTCTGTAACTGCCTGTGTTCTCAAAATTACAAGGGCATCCTGGCACAGTCATCAGAAATTTAAAAAATTAGAAATATGGAACACAAAACAGGCAGCTTGGGTATGAAAATAATCTGAGGTTTTTTTAAGGGAAAACATTGAGGGGGTGGAGAAATGAACAATTTATGAGGTGGATAAGGTACATCTCTACATTACAAGAAGTTAGGTCATTATGATTTGGTGATAGCAAATTTCACTATAAACTCTAAGATTTGTATTTGTGGCTAATGCATTTCTTTCTCTTTATTGCTAGAGGCCAAAATGGGTCCGGGCCTTGTATGATTTTGAGGCGGCAGAGGACGATGAGCTAGGATTCTGTACCGGAGACGTCATAGAAGTTCTCGACAACTCTGATGAACATTGGTGGAAAGGCTGTTTGCATGGAATGTTTGGACTCTTTCCTGCCAACTACGTGCAGCCAATGAAGTAATAAATTGTCACTGTTTCTCATGGGGGATTAATAAGAATGTGCCATTGTATAAATAGAAGATACTCTTAAAATGTCTGCTTAATGTTTGTAGCTCCAAAATCTTAACTATTATTAATTATTATTCAAACATACCACCTCCGTTGCAGTTCACATGTTCAGGAAGCACTGAGCTATGGACAGCTTTGATTTGTTTGAAACATTATAGCAGAAACGTCCTTTTTGGAGCACTGTCTCAACTCTTAAATTCATTCAGTACTTTTAAAATTTTAGAAAGTAGATTAAAATATATAGGTAGTCCTCAATTTACAACCATAACTGAGCCCAAAATTTCTATTGCTAACAAGACCATTGTTAAGTGCATTTTGCCCCATTTTATGACCTTTCTTGCCACAGTCATTAAGTGAATCACTGGAGTTGTTAAGTTAGTAACATGGTTGCTAAGTAAACCTGGTTTCTTCACTGACTTTGCTTGCCAGAAGGTCCCAAAAGGTGATCACACAAGTCTGGCAACCATCATAAATAGAACCAGTTGCCAAGCGACTGAATTTTGATCACGTATCTGTGGGGATGCTGCAACAGTCGTAAATGTGAAAAACAATCATACGTCCCTTTTTTCAGTGCCATTGTAACTTCAAACAGTCACTAAATGAACTGTTGTAAGTAAAAAACTACCTATATTTAATTGTACAAATGTACATGCAGAACTTTAATTTTTTAAAAAAGGAAAACAAAACAAAACAAAATCCAAGAAAATGATTTAAATAGTATTCAATTTGTTGATCTGTACACCTATCATTTGCATTCATTTTTCTGGAGAAATTTGATTCAGCCCAGTTGAGAAAAATACAGTTTTTTTCTATCTTGGTTTGAGTTTTTTCCGTACTCTGAGTCCCTACTTTTTGTAAGATTATAAATTTCTAGTAAGAAAGCTTGTAAAATTGCTCTGATTGTTCTTCCAAATATTGTAATGTATACATGCTTATTCCACTGAACAAATGCCTGAGAATATTAACATTTTGCCCTGGAACTGGAGCAAATGTTTCATTTTAGAGTAAATTTCTACTTCCTGATACATGGAAAGAACAAGCAACCCGTTGAAGAATTTGAATTGTAGCCACTATGCTAATAGTGCCTCCTACATAACATCACATAGCTCCATAGCTGATTCACAGGGCAAATCCGCAAAGTAAACATGTCTCAGCTTTATACCTGATAGTAATAAATTCCTTCAAAGAGTATTAGAAATTCAATTATAATAAATATGCTATTGTTCGTAAACTATTAATCCAAGGTATGTCCTGTCTCCTCCCAAGTGAAATCAAGAAAAATACTTATCAGTAATTATATTTACATAAACTGTTCATGTCATATTTTTTTTTACCATCGTACATGTATTATTTTGTTGTAGTTCCTGAACAAGTTCTCCTAGGCTGGTAAGAGATGCTCTAGTGGAAGGTGTGGTTTATAGAAAAACAATATAGAATAAAAAATAAATGTTTTAGCAATCTAGATTCCCAAAATATACCACCCTTGTTCACATTAGCCTTGTTTGGGTATGATGATTTTAAATGGGTAGCATGACAGAACTACATATTCTAATTGTATCATATATCTATGATAGATATCTAAATATATTTACCACTGCTGTAGCAAAATCTAGGTGGAACATTTTCTGGTATTGTTGAAACCTTCCACTACCTCAAAAAGAACTTGGAGTAAACCTTGTAACTCAACTTTACAAAAGCATTTTATACAGTGGTAAGATTCCACCGGTTTGGGCCGGTTTGGGCGAGCTGGTAGTTAAATTGCTGACTGGCCCCTCCCCGCCCCTCCAGTAGGCTGCAGGGAGGCCTACTAGGCCCAAAATGGGGTGCAAGGTGCAGCATGGCCCCCCACAGCCCATTATTGCTCCCAGGAGGCTGCAGGGAGCCCTACTAGGCCCAAAACGGGGCACAGGGGCAGTGCATCCCTTCCGCTGCCCATTTTTGCTCCCCAAGGGGTGCAGGAGGCCGAGTGCTGCCTGTCAAACAACCCTGGCCATGCCCACCTGGCCACGCCCACCCAGCCGGTCATTAGGGCAGAGAACCGGTTGTTAAATTATTTGAATCCCACCACTGATGATATATGGTTACTTTACCGTAATTCTGATGACTGGTTTAACTGACCTTAAAAATAATTCTGTAGAAATAGATAACTAGTAATCTTTTGTGAATGGTAACTGAACGTTCTGAATGACTTATTTCAGCCAAATCATCCTGATTTTTTAAAAAAATCATTTTTAAAAATACAAGTACAATATCATCATGGTAAACAATATTTATCAATGCTGACAAACCACTGCCCATTCCTTTCACCGTCAGAAGAGTCTTTAATGTAAGTAAAAGCTTTTTGAAGTGGCCTCATTTGCATGAAACATAAAAGATTCCATTTACGTTAATAGAAGCAGCAACTGGAAAGAACTGTAAATGTAGATATCAGCTACTATAGGAAGCAGACAAATAGAAGATTCACAATGAATTTAAATGCAAAATATAGAGTCAAAATATTGCATGCATTAAGAAATAATGCCCCAAAATGTTAGAAAGGATAATGTATAAGTTACTGCAAAAGGCAAAAGACAACTTTCCACTCATTAAAACTTCATAAGTAGCCAATTAAAGAAATGTAGAATACCTTGCCTAAGTGTCCCACTATATGATAAGGAACATTAGCTCCAGTTCAGCTTCCTTATAGCTTTTTTGACTGAATAAATATTTCTAATGCATTCTACCTACAGTATGTCTCGTCTTCCCCAAACTATTGCTGAATATCAATAGTCTGTTCTGCAAGTGACTGCAAATCCTCGTACAAAGATGTATTATATCCTACTGCAGTTTACAAATACCTACGGACTGAATGTTAATCCTAACCTTAAAGCAGTCTTAGAATATAGAATATATAGAATAACAGAGTTGCAAGAGACTTTGGAGGTCTTCTAGTCCAACCCCCTGCTTAGGCAGGAAACTAGTGCTATCTTCCCAAACTAGTGGTGTCCTGCTATGTTGGGATTAAGACTTCAAGAATTCCCAACTAAAAAAGCTTTCTGTAACTTTGATTAGGAATTCTGTGACCTGTAAACCCAACATACCTGGGTAACAGTGCTTTATGGCTTTGTTAGGGAGGAAGGCAGGCATTGTTTCAGAAACTTGTCCTTCCCGACCCTTTTATAAAAGGGATGCGGTGGCTCAGTGGCTAAGACGTTGAGCTTGTTGATCGAAAGGTCAGCAGTTCAGCGGTTCGAATCCCTAGTGCTGTGTAACAGGGTGAATTCCCGTTACTTGTCCCAGCTTCTGCCAACCTAGCAGTTCGAAAGCACGTAAAAAATGCAAGTAGAAAAATAGGGACCACCTTTGGTGGGAAGGTAACAGTGTTCTGTGCGCCTTTGGGGTTTAGTCATGCTGGCCACATGACCATGGAGTCGTCTTTGGACAGCGCTGGCTATTTGCCTTTGAAACGGAGATGAACACCGCCCCCTAGAGCCGGGAACGACTTACACATATGTGCGATGGGAACCTTTACCTTTATACCCTTTTATAGAACTTCAGCCCCTAACACAATGCAAATCTTGCATACAGTGCTCCTGAAGGAGGTACTGCCCTCCAGTTTAAGGATCATTCAGCACTGGATACCTACCATTATACATAAATCAAGTTCACTCATTATGTTAACCCATAATTTGTTTAATCATGGCTTACTGAGTACGCCACAAATTATCATCATGTTACCCAATTTGGAAATGAAATAACTGCAAGAAAACAACCAAGCTCAGAGAACACCAAGGATCCCACAGTTCAATTCTGAACTATAGATATTCTCTTCTCTCAGTTTACAAACTGTAATGGCTAAATTAATAGATTACACAAACTAAAACCAAACAAACCACATTATTATTAAGAGTAATACATAGATCGAGGTTTACTGTGCACATGCAGTGATCAGGATAAGTAAAAGTAGAAGAAACTCTGTTAGTCCTCTTTGCTACCCTCTCACAAACAGCAGATTTATGTTATCCCCAACAGAAGACCTTTTCCCTGATTTTGGTTCCAGGCTATGAATGCATATATTTGGTCATTTCTTGATAGGCCTTCTCTCCTTATACAGTATACACTAGACCTTAATCAGGGTGCACTGTTAGGAAATCTCGGGTGGGGGCGGGGGAGACCCTTCTTTACTTCAGTTTTTTCATAATTGTAACTTATTGCTCTTATTTTGAATTGCATCCTTATTTTTAATGTGTGTAAACTTCAGATTGATGCCAATGGATTGTATTTATTTTCTTATTTTATTATCTGTATTTTTTTTACTGTAATCCACCTTGAAAGATAGGTATTTTTAAATAGGATAAATATAATATGTACATATATAAATACTGTTGAGGTAATGTTTAGATATTAAGTTAGTTTGATATATTAAATTATTTAGTGATTCTTTATAACATTTCTAAACTATTCAAATTATAGTTTTATTGTTTTTGCATGGTGTCATTTTTGTTTTTATTGTGATTGGATAAGAAAAACGGAGGTCAATCTCTAAGACAGGGTTTCCCAACTTTAGTGATTTCCAGTTCCTGCTGAACTTATTCTGTCGTACTCTGAATAAACACAAATTCTAGAGCTGAGCATGTTTTGAAAATGATTAAAAGTTCTTTGGACTTCACACAAGCATGGCTCTTCACTATTCATTAAAGAAGCCCAACTTTCTTAGGTGTTTGTTTGAACCTGGAAAAAATGCTGCCTTTTAAGCAAACACATTGACTTTTAGAAGATTCTTTAAAGCAGCAGATTTGAAGGGGGTGCACACTTATGCAACCACATTATTATAAGTTTTTTATTTTTATTTCCCCCCCCCCAAAAAAAAGGTCTGTTTGTTTTTCAATTGAATTGCACAGCTTATATGTTATATTAAAGGTGAAAAAAAATCTGTAGTAGTTTATCTTCGTCTGATATTTTTTTTTACATCTTTTTACAACTGGCATTTAACATGGGTGTATTTATATCCACTGTATTTAAATTCATTCTACTGGTTCCATATCAAGGAGGTTCATGATTTCAAAGAAATTCCTGATATTCTCCTTCTAAATGAGTTCTGAAGACTTTAATGTAGCCTTGTCATATAACCATTAATATCCTGAAAGATGCTCAGCCTCTTCTCAGTAGCACGTTGAATGCCATCAGGCTTGAGGTAATCTGGTACTATATTGTCAATTGCTTTATCTCAGCATTTTTCAAACTTGGCTTCAGACAACTGGGAAATTCTGGGAGTTGAAGTCCACGTGTTAAAGTTGCCAGGTTTGAAAGACACTACTTTATCTTATCTATTGACATTTGGGGGGGAGGGGGATAAAATGGAATAATTTGTCATGACTTTCTCCCATGCAATATCAAATGATGCATTTGCAATTGTCATTAAAATGATCATTTGCTTCTAACATCTTCCTATATAACTATTGCCGAATATAGGTGCCTATTTGCTTTAACTGGCAAATGGGATCAGTCTGGGTGAAATCTGCTGGAGTATATACTATTACTATGCACTCCAGGGTTTTCACTCATCCCTCCTAAGAACACTCCATCATGTTGAGCAGCACAGCAGGATTTGGGGGGACGGACTTACTAATCTTTCATAAATTTTTAAAGGCATAGCTTTTCCAGAGGCTGTATGTATTATAATCTCCTCTCTGTTATTGGATTAGATTTTCTTGCCTTTTTCCCCAATGTGCTGTTAGATATAAGTTTGTCATAGTTGTTAATTCTGATATATAACCTGCCTGGAGTTGAATTTGTGACTGAGGTAACACACACATTAATTATATAAATAAGTTGCCTCTTGGAAATTTGTCATACTTTTTCCTCTCAAAAACAGCAACTAGTTCTATAAATGCAGACCATATGTAATCCATATATATAATCCATGTACAGTTGTAGAGTTAAAAGTAAAGATTGATATATGACAGGGTGTGACAAAAATTCAGATATCTGGACTGGAGGGCCTAAAAATTGGCTTTTTTCCAAATTACAAATCAGGGTCTGATTCAAAGTGTGTAATGATTCTGTCTATACTTGTACTGAGTTTAAAAAAAGAAAAAAGAAAAGAAAAAAAGAAGAGAAGAGAAGAGAAATATAGTGATGAAACTATTCAAGACTAGCCTTTTGAACAGCCATGAAACATCTTTTATTCTGCGTTGTCTTTTCTGAGTTAATGCTTTCTGCATATTTTTACCACTGGGTGAAATTCTACTTTGATTTCATAGTATTCATTTAATTGATAGCACAAATTTTAATGTACAGAAGTGGGTGTACAACAAATGTATATTTTACAGTTTCTCATATGTAAAAAGAGGGATAATTATATTTAATTACTTGTCATATAGCAATATTCTAAGAGTAAATTAATAATTTGAAGATATTGCTTGTTATAAAGCTTAAATATACAGTACTGTATATATTGAGATGTGACGATTGTCTTCTTGTTTTTTTAATGAAAAAAATAAAATAGAAGTTAATTTTATGGTGTGGACACATTTTGTGAAGACATGGACTGAGAAAATCTTATCTGTCTTAATATCTTAATGATAGAAGTTTTATATATAACAGCATAAGGAATAATCTGTCTTATCTGATTGATAATCCTATATCATGCAATATCCTGCAAAGTAGATATATGCCTTGAGCATCTCTATTCATAGTTGCTGATATTTTTATTTCCCATAAAATTACACCTTTCCTTCTTTCTACTGAAGTAGCTTAGTGTAGCCATCATAAGATATGCATTTCTTCTATATAGGTTTCGGAAGACCTATAGAAACTTTTGCCTAATTTCAAAAGACAATTTATATAGAGAGAGAGAGAATATTGAACTCATCACCCAGAATGAGCAGGTCTTTCTCCTTCCCCTTCCAGATATTTCAGTGCTGCCTGAGAGAGGACTTAAAACAGTTCTGTCTTCTCCTTTACTGGAGAGCCCATAAAACTGTTAACGGGGTAGCAACAAAGGAGCCGACCCCAAAAAATACCTTGTTTCCTTGGATATGACCTAACATCTTTTAATTCTGAAAGAAAAAGGTTAAAACAATTTCATGTCTATATACAATCTGACATGCTTGATGCATAATCATTATGTTATATTAGTGCTACATTCTATTGTTTCATAATAAACTGAGTCATTCAGCTACTGGCAGTTCTCAGCCAATTTTGCTGCATGTTCTAATTCACCGATTGCACAGATGTTTATACCTAATTTGCTCTGGAAGCAATTATGCTTGATTCAAAGTCAGATCCAAGCTATGACCTATTTAACTTTCTTAAAAATGACAAACTTAAAACAAATAGAGAGGAAAGAGCAGGGCAAGACACATATTTGACTTGGGCTGAACCTGCATCAGCATTTCTGGATTTGTTTTGGTGAGCAATGGCACATAAAAAAACCCCACTGTAACAATTCACTTAAAATGACAATATCATAGCTTTTTTTTTTTCCATTTAGAGATTTTTAGGCCCTTCATGCTTCACCCACTGGCAAAGGTTAATATTAGGTTTAATAGACAGGCCACAGAATCTGGCCTGTCTTTTTTATTCTTGGCAGAAGACTAAACATGGAGATGGAACTGTGGAGTCACTCCATCTCTGAAGGCAGTTCAGACATGTTTTTCAACCCCAAAACTGGTCTACCTTGAAAAAAAAAGTGTTTGTGGCATATTGTCATAATGGAAAGTCTCTTTAGTTAGTTAACTATTTTGACAAGGCTGAATCAAATCTCATAGCTGGTGTGTCATGAAGTGGCATATTTTTTGAAAATACACAAGAAAATGATTATATTCTCGCAATGGTTATTTATACTTTTGGTTAAAAAAAATCAAGGAGGTTTGTGAGTAAAATTATTTTTGTTGATACTTTCATTGATGCATGGTAAGGATGTTTTAATTTTTTTTAATATCCAAGTTGAAGGGCCATATATAAAAACAATTTAAGACTTTTCTTACTTTTGTTGTATTATATTCATGGTGTGAATTGCTTTGGTTTTAAGTTTTCGTTTAGTATGTAAAAATTAACTTTAACTATTTTTTAAAACTCTTGACTTTTAACCAAAGGTGCATCTGAAATTTGCCATGGAAGTATATAATAGAAATGTGGAAAGTTGTAGGAGTTGACAGTGACAAAAATTCTACTACCTATTTAGAATCAGTATATTTCCATACCATTACCATCTAGGATTACCATATTTCACAAACTACAAAGCTTCTGAAGACTGCAATAACATAGTGCAAGGGTAATAATAAGCTTATTAATTTTTATCCTCATAGGTTCATAGAGAGGATGTTTCAGGGCTCTTGCTCTTATGCTAAAAAAGAAACATTTCCTGTATTGCTGGAATCTGAAAACACCGACTCTGTAATAACTTGGTTAACATCATGCTCAGGATTTGGAGTTGAACCAACGCCATGCTCTACAAACAGTGGCTGGGTTCACATAGCTCACTAATCATAAAATGTTTAATTATAGATTGCTGCAATGTGTGCAATGCTAGTTACTGGCCAGTTCACATTATCAACTATGTATATTTATTTGTCTACTTTTAAAATAATAATTGTTGATTATTCACAACAAATAAATACTTAGCAATCACAAACATGGATGGGACGAAACTTCTTTATGATAGAAGCATGGTGGAGGACAGGTTAAACAGGATCATTTATGGAAAGGCAACCATAGAAAGAACCGGGAAGGAGTTTTTATCCCTTCCAGATAGGCCAGGTCAGGAAACAGACTCTACAAGAATGCTGCAACTCTATTCTATTGAGTTAAGCTATAGTAACAGAATCCTGAAAGCCTGAATGTTTTCCCTTCCCTTCTTCGTATATCCTAATAAATCAATGAGGGATTGATTTCTGAGTCTGAGTTTCTTTCTAATGCTTTCTTCATTTCCCAGGCTTAAAGCGTGAGCTGCACTGGTTACCAGTTGTTCTCCGGGTCTGCTTCAAGGTGCTAGTCCTCACCTATAAGGCCCTGCATGACTTAGGTATGGGATATTTGCATGACCTTCTCCTGCCTGCCTCTCACCGTCCTGTTCGTTCACATAGGGCCGCTCTCCTCAGGGTTCCAACGGCGAGCCAATGTCGCCTTGCTGTGCCCAGGGGTAGGGCGTTCTCTGTGGGTGCTCCCACCCTCTGGAATGAATTACCTACTGAGCTCCGGACGGCTCCTGATCTCCGTTCCTTCCGTCGGGACTTGAAGACTTGGCTTTTCAAACAAATAGGCTGAGACTGATTCCGGGTTTTATTATTTACTATTAATTAATTATTTGGATTAAATTATGATTTTATTGTACTTGTTTCTTAACTTGTGTTCGCCGCCCTGAGTCCTTCGGGAGAATGGCGGCATATAAATACATGTAATAAATAAAATAAATAAAGCATGGTTTTGTATCATTACATAGTTTCTCCAAAGTCATCTCTGTGCTTCCCTATAGGAGTTCTACTTCCATCAGCCCAACTGCTGATTGGATTTAAATCCAATCAACTTCTTCACAACTTTTTAATGGAAATCATCAGGATCCTCTCAAATAAGAGAAATGTTAATTTATGTATGTATGTATGCAAGAAAGTAATATGGATTAATTATCTGTAGTATGAAATATACTTATTTACCTATATCTTATTTTATGGTTGTTTATTATTTTGTTGGGCCCTATCCAACAAAATGAAATTTAATGTGTAGAAAAGCAATGTTTTACACCTAGGCAGAAAAAACCAAAGGTACAAGTACAAATTAGGCAAAACCTGGGTCAAAAACAGTAACTGTGAGAGGGACCTTGGAGTCCTAGTGGACGATCACTTAAACACAAGTGAGTAGTGTGTGGCAGCAGCCAAAAAAGAAGGATATACTTATTCTGACTTATTCTGGACTAGAGGCGAGGTGGTGCAGTGGTTAGAGTGCAGCACTGCAGGCTACTTCAGCTGACTGCTAGCTGCAGTTCAGCAGTTCAAATCTCACCAGCTCAAGGTTGACTCAGCTATCCATCCTTCCAAGGTTGGTAAAATGAGGAACCAGATTGGTGGGGGCAATATGCTGATTCTATAAACCACTTAGAGAGGGCTGTAAAAGCACTATGAAGCAGTATATAAGTCTAAGTGCTATTGCTAATGCTATTGCTACAATGAATCCTCTACTCTTTTTAACCTTCCCTGTTCATTGGCCTGTGCACAAATGTCATTAGCCAACATAGGAACATATTTTCTATGATTAGTGATAAACTGGTATGAAACAGAAAACCATAAAGTTAAAAATCAGTAAATGAAGATTTTGCATACGCATCTAGGATCTGAAATTGCACCTTTTTATTGCTAAAGGCAGTGGTGGGTTCCTCCCGGTTCGATCCTGTTCGGCCGAGCTGGTAGCGGTGACATGACCTCACCGAACCAGTTCTCCCCCCCCCGCCCTCCCACCCAGCCATGTACGTACGTTATTCTTACCTTTTATTTGGTCCCACCCCCAATCTATTGCTGCCTCCTGAGTCCCAGCTGATGACTAGAAGGAAAAAAACTGTTTAAACTCTTGCCGCAGGGCTTCAAAGGGCCGTCCTACAGCTGATCAGTGTTAAAAGCAAACAAATGAGTTGGGTCGTAAGTGTGAGGACTGGTCGTAAGTGCGAGGACCTTCCAGAAATGACTGACAGCTAGCCGTGCCCACCTAGTCACATGACCTCCAAGCCGCACCCACAAAATAAGCCATGCCCACAGAACTGGTAGTAAAAAAATTTAGAACCCACCCCTGGCTAAAGGACTAGCCTTTCAACATTGGAAAAATAGAGGTATGATCCAATTATTCAGTGCTAATGCTGTTTGTATGGTTATCCCTTATTGAATTTGTTATGTTCATGTTATACTAATTGTATGACATCTTTTATTGTTGTTGTATTGCTTTTTTCTCTTATATACTAAATACCATTGTTTTATTTTTTTTCTCTTTACTCTGTCTTATTAAATGAATAAAGATTTATTTAAAAGATAAGTATTTGCAAGAGACACTGCTTTGCAAGGAGCAAAAACATTAGGAAATTTATCTAAAACTATACCACAAGACCATCTATTTGGAGACTGAAATTATGGGGCAGAAGTTGGCAAAGGACATGCATTAGAGGCAAACAGAGCTACAATTAAACCTTAAATATAAGCTGTCACATCTTTTATATAGCATATGACCTGCAAAGCCCTAAAAAGTGAAGTAATTAGGGCCCAGGAACCAACATGTATGTGGGAGACATTTCATGAAAGAAAATTCAAAGATAACAAATGGGTATAAAGGGAAAATTCCAAACTGAAGCATTTGTTACTTCTAAATCTACCGTAATAACTTCAAAATATACCTGAAAAAAACCAAAAACATAAAACAAGGTTTGCCTCAGAGAGATCTAGCATAATATACAGGCATTAAGAACCCTTTTAATTTCCTATTTTATTCAATGCAACTCGTCAAAGGCAATAGGATGAAATTTAGAGACTGTATTAAAGAATTAAACCAAATAAAAAATGAGGTAGGTGAATAATATCTCTTTTTAAATGACAAACTAAATTGGTTGGCACTTTTTATTAATTAGCATTTTTCCTTTCTTTTCTATTTTTACATTTGAGCCTTCAATACTCATACTTGAGTATTTCCTCCAATGTCATTCTGGATGTGGATTTGTCAACGTATGAGTGAAAGCAAAAGAGATAAATGTATATAATTCTGGTTTCATCCCTGTCAGTGCAGGTTTATATTCAGAATACAAGCTGATTTGGCGGAGGGGAGACCATTTTAGCCCACTGCATTATTGAAAAGCCTTTTAGTGTAAAACTTTTAGTTTGACAGCTTTTGTCCTTCTTTCTTCACTTTGTCTTTCTCATGTTGCAGAGGGTAATTTTGATAGCTCTTGGTAGTCTTTTCTTGCCCCCCCCCCTTATCTGTATATTAAAGTAAATGCATTTCTTATGCCTAATTTTTAGAGAATGCTTCTCAGACTTTTCTCCTTTTTTTCCTCCCATATAAACTCTTTAAAATAAATTAATTGTTCAAAATGCAGCCTTTTTTTATCAGGGTGAGACTGCCATGTATGCAGCAGTGCAGAGAGGACTTCTAAGGTTAATAATCCTGAGACTCTGAAAAGGAATAACAATGACAATGAGATAAAGCTGCCATCTTTTGGCCCTCTAGCAGGGTTGCACCACAATAACTACAGTACCGGCATCTCAGTCTCTGTGCAACCAAACATGACTGCTTTTTGTAGGGAGGTTAAGAACCACTGATCATTTAATTATTTGGCTCTCTTCCCCTCTTTGTTATTTACATATTTAAATTGTTTATTCATTTGAATATACATGTGTTTCTTTCCTCCTTCCCTATTCCTGTTATTTCATTCTAGTTCCCGGATATAAATGCATAAATGCATAAAATGCACATAAATGCATAAATCCCAAACAATTGCTCACTTTCAGGGAACTGAGGTCCTGGAGGATCTGCCTAGAAATTCTCCTTGTACCATGTACTTCTATTTATCACAAGAGCCCCGAATTCTGTTTCTACCTATACTGAGTTATTAGCAAGGAACTGTAATGTAGAAAGGAGAGAGACTTACAACAGTTCATTTAGTATCTGTTCAAAGTTACAACGGCAATGAAAAAAGTGACATGACCATTTTTCAGACTTCCCCATGATCATGTGATCAAAATTCAGACTCTTGGAAACTGATTCATATTTATGATGGTTGCAGTGTTCCAGGGTCCTGTGATCACCTTTTGCAACCTTCTGACAAACAAAATCAATGGGGAAGCCAGTTTCATTTAACCACGTTACTAATGTAATGCCTGCAGTGATTCACTTAACAACTGTGGCAAGAAAGGTCGTAAAATGGGGCAAAACTCACTTAACAAATGTCTCACTTAACAACAGAAACTTTGGGCTCAATTGTGGTTGTATGTCAAGGTCTACCTGTACAATCTTTTAATAAAAGAGAGATAACTGCAAATCCCATTCTCAACCTGCCCTTAGTGCCCTTAGTGGAAATTCTCACAAAAGCATAGAGGAGTTTTACATGTTAAGGGACTAGAGAGCCAAATGAGGTTTCCCTGATCTAAACTTTAACATAAACTTCTGTTATCAATGTTTCAGTAGAAATCTGGAGTCCAGAGTTTTACATTACAGTGCACCACATAGTGTGCATTAATATTCCAAAGTAAGCTACATTCTCAGTGATATAGGTTTCCTCTTCTGAGTTATTAAAATAGACATACTGAGTTTTTTCCACAAGTACCTGCTATCACAAGAATACAGCATCATGTAAAACTGACAAATAAAATAGTAACTTTACCACAAGAGTTTAAAAGGCATCTCAGTCACTTCTGACACTAATGCCAAATGCTAACTCTAGATTCTAGAATTTGTATTTCATTCGTATCAAAATAACTAATTTGTATTTCAGGGTAAGGAAAATTGAAAGGCATAGAAGTGGGACCTTTATAGAGATGCATTTTTGCTGAATTCCTAAGAAAGCCGTACCTAAATCTGCCATTTTCAAATGTATATTTATTGGATGAAAATAGCAGTGCTATTTCCTTAACAGGAAACAATCATGATGGTAGTTAACAAGAAACAACACGATATATCTGCAAAGTTTTAAACATTTCTTAGTTATGAAGGCTGCCAGCCTTACAAATTCATGACTTGCACAGGTTTTTAGGCAGAGAATGTTTTTTCGTGCAGTAATGAAAAATTCAGATTTTTTTTTTTTTAATTAGAAGGACATGATCTGATGAAGGGGTGGCACGCCTTCTTATGGAACACCGGGAACAAAACATATAAACATTTCACTAACCATATAATAAGAGACTCATTAATTTGTACATGGCAAGAAATCAAAAACAAACACTACTTGAAAGTCCCCGGATGGTTATCCACAGTGGAGGCAACAATGCACCCCAACACACTAGCAACACAAAAAATGATAAGATATAAGGAAATATTGGATTCTCAGGGAATACTGAAAACACAGGAAGAACTTAGAAAGCAAGGAATATCAATAGACTGGTGGCCCTATTTACAGATAAAAATAAGATACAGAAAGGATCAAGAGGAAGGAGGAATAGACCCAAAACCGAATCGACTAGATAAACTATTAGAAATCAAGGAAGAAAAATTAATTTCAAAAATTTATAAATACTTATTAGAATTCGACCTAGCAGAGGAATTGGTTAAAGGACAAATGATAGCATGGGCAAGAAACAATGGATACAACATACAGTTAGAAGAATGGGAAAGGGTATGGGAAACCAATTATATCATGACAAAATCAGTAGTTTATAAGGAGAATTAGTATAAAATGTGGTATAGATGGTATCTGGCCCCTTCGAGATTAGCAAAGATATATCCGAATTTAAACCCAACTTGTTGGAAATGTAAACAGGCACAGGGTACTTTCTTTCATGTCTGGTGGCTTTGCCCAAAAATTAGGAAATACTGGGAAAAAATAAAAATTTGGTTAACAGAAATAACAGAAGAGGAAATAGAGTTTAATCCAGAAATTTTTTTATTAGGCATGATCAAAGAAAATATTAGGAGAGAAAAATATTTAATATTACATATAATTACGGCAGCAAGATTGGCACTAGCGCAACATTGGAAAACGGATCAATTGCCAACGGATCAACTAGTAATCCAGAAAATTTACAATTGTGCGGAAATGGATAAATTAACACTTGAGTTAAAAGACAAGGTAGACTCAAAATACTATATGGTATGGAATAGATGGTATGAGTGGATAAGTCAAAAAAAAGAGAGAGTAAATGTAAAAGTTTGTATGAAAATAAAATTAACAAACAAGCACCATCAACAAGATAAATGATGTATTAAGTATATATATATATGTGTGTGTGTGTGTGTGTGTGTGTGTGTGTGTGTGTAAGTCTTTGGTTATTCGGGTTTTCTCCCGCGTAAAATTGGAGGTTTCTTGGCAACGTTTCGACGAAGTCTCATCGTCATCTTCAGGCTGGTGTCTTCGGCTTCGTGCTTCTAGGAGCAATATACATTATGTACAATGCACAATGTACAATGCACATTGCTCCTAGATATATATATATATTGTTTGTCTGGTTGGTTTTGTATTGTTTTTTCTATTTTACTGTTTTGTATATAAATGTATTTTGTATGTATTTGATATGATATTTTATCTTTTTATGTTTAATAAATTTGTTTTAATAAAAAGAAAAAAGAAAAATTCAGAATGAGGAAACAGGCAGCAAATTTTATGCTGGCTTGTACTAAAAACTGCATCTTTCCTCAATCAAGGGGTCTTTATGTGTGCTGGGCTACAGCTCTCAGAATGCCAACATACACAATGTGGGAATGGCAGATACAGAGATAAATTGATTATATGTTAAAGAGAACTGGACAGGATCTGAAAGAAAGGGAGACATAGACAGTTATTTTTTTCCATTTATTTCAGATATTTCAGACAAAATGTTTAACACACTCTGTTTTTAAAAGGCACAAGTAGTTCATTTTTGTTCTTGTGGCAAATGTCCTTATTTCTACAAACTCAGGGGAACAAAGCAGTTGAAACAAGGTAGGCCACAGAACTCTATATCCTGAAGTCATGGCTAAGCCACACACTGGTTCTCTTTATGTTGTAGCTTCTCTACAAAAAAAAGAGGAAATTATCTCCCAGTATTCTTTCTTATTTCTCTGACAACCAGAGCAACTTTCAACCTAAGGAAGACAAAGGAGAAAATGTTGAGGAATGTGTAGTTGACGAACAGTTTAGAAGAGATAAATCAATATTTCTCAAACTTGGTAACTTTAAGATGTGTGGGTTTCAACTCCCAGAATTCCCCAGCCAACCATGCTTACGTTGACACTGACATTTAGATATTCAAGCATCCAAATACTTGGAAATCCATGTAAATACTTTTACAAAAAGTATAAATAGGTGCATTTTTAATTATATTCAATTAATTTATATGAATAATTCTACCAACTACTGAACTAATTAGGTGTGAACATATGAAGCAAATCTTTTAGGGCAGGCACATCAAACACACAGCCCGTGGGCCAGATATGGCCCGCGCAGGCCACGCCCACCTCAGTCCCACAAGGGCAAAAACAATCCCAATACATCCTGATATGGCCTGCGATGTGATTGGATTTGACACCCCTGTTTTATAGTGGAGGAATAAAGCCAAAACTTATGTGATTTTCAAACAATAAAATAATTAAATTAATATTATTACTCTACTACAAAGATACAATTTTAATTCATCTCCCTTCTGTTCTTTTTTGTTATTAGAGGCTATTCATATAATTCATTCAAACTTTGTTCTAATAGCTATGTCCAATGCAATTTTGGAAGCAAGAAACCCATAACCTTCAAAAGGAGAAAGAGGGCTCTTTCTCAGTCAAGAAAAGGAAGGAAGATTATTAATACAGAAAATAATACTGCTGGTTTATCAACTGTTTTGTGCAATAGTAGAACATAAGAATGATATTTAAAATTTAACATACTTTCAACTAGAGGTAGGTGTTTAGAATATCCCTATCTGTTCTTGAATGGGAGGAAGAATTAAAAATACAAAAGATACAACTGGTCCATAAACCCTGAAATTCATCCAAAAGGGTATCATGGTAACTGTTGTTGGAAGCCACCAAGAGTTCAAGAAGCACTAGGAGAGTTGCACCACCCCATCCCAGTTTTATTGGAGATTTTTGAATAAAAATAATATTGTTGGGATTTAAAATAATAGTTTAATGCAGTAGATTGCCTGTGCCTAAGACCTGCATCCTAAAACCAGGAGGTAGATAGATTGGGAGATAGATTGGGAGATAGATAGATAGATAGAGATAGATTGGGAGATAGATAGATAGATAGATAGATAGATAGATAGATAGATAGAGACAGAGAGAGAGAGAGAGAGAGAGAGACAGACAGAGACAGAGACAGAGACAGATGGATTAAGAATTGGAGGACATGCAAAAATACCCCAAAATCAAATGTGCTGCACAGAGTAGAATAAGAACAAATCTTCAGCATCCTTCAATCAACAATCTTTCAATCACAGTATCATGGGGAAGAAGGGACCTTGGAGGTCTTCTAGCCCAACCTCCCACTCAAGGCAGGAGTGTCCCACCATCCCAGTCAAATGGTTGTCCAATCTATTTTTGAAAACTTGCAGTTATGAAGCACCTACAACTGCAGAAGGCAATCTTCACACAACTAAATAAATGTTCTCTGCCAATTTTACCTTATTGCTTCCCCTTTCTTGGTTTTAGATCTGATTCCTCAAACTCAGCCCTACAACATCTTTTTCTTTCTGCTTCCCTCAAACTCACTCAGAAAAAAGCAACTCTTAACTTCTTTTCTCCTGAAACTCCCAGCAAATGACTGGTTTTTGAGAAAACTGTCTTAAAAGATCACCAGTAAACTAGTCAGAAATAAGATTCCTTTAAGGAATTTCACAAGAAAAACCCAACTTACTGCAGCAATCCAGTTCATGCAAACATGTCAAATAGATGACAGTCACAAATTGGATATGCTTATTTAAACTATGGTAAAGAAGACTTTTATAACAAAGCTTTCTAGAAAATATTAAAATAATTATAAAAATAAAACTAAAATTTTGTTAAATACTTGTAAGGAAGTGAGACTGAGATACTGTCTTTAATAAATTAAATGCATGATTTCCCTCATTTATAGCCTTAATTCAGCATGGTAAATATTAGCAATTGCACTTGAATTACTACTGACACATTATTTCCCTTTTGGAAGAAATAAATATAGCCTTTCTCAAAACCTAGTGAACCAAAAATCGAAACTAGGAGAGGATCTAAATTACACCAAATGCACATTGCATAATGTGTATTGTATAAATTATATACCAGTCTTTCTGACAAACTGTAAATCAGTGCAATAAACTGCACCCATCAAATTCATTTACTGCCTCATTAATATTTTGACTTATAATTCATCTACTTCGGTATCTTTTATTCCTCAAGCCTGTCAGAACAGCAGGTAAACTGCTAACAGCCTGGCATAACCAAACTCTTCCTAAGTTTTTCTTTTCATCTTCATCTTTTCCAAATTATTAATACCTAAAAATGAATGTAACAAACATGTTTAATCTCATACGATACTATCCCATTATAATATTTTATACTGTTGTTAGAAATGCTTTAACTGTAGAAGACAATTTGTCCAACCTTTAGTGAAATGTTTTGCCATTAGAATTACAAATCCCTTGGGTGTGTAGGGATAGCAAGTGAATATTATGTTAACCACAACACTGTTTTATCAGGCAGATGTGGTTTTAGCGTGGGTGCAAGTTGTTTCCTTAGATGCCAAAATGAATCTTACACAGACTTGCTTCACACGTCACAGTAAACTAGTCTATGTTTGGCATAGTTTACTGAACAAGGCAGATGTCTGAATTCTCAGCGTAGTTTATAAACCAACATCAGTGGCCTCATTAAAGATAACCTTAGAAATCAAGTGGCATGCATTCTGGTTTATAATGACATTATAGAGCCAGACTACAAAATTCAGTCTTGAATGTTTACAACTTTAAAAGACCAAAAGATTTAAATCTATGTATTAGTATTTAAGTGGCATTAGGTGGTGATGAGAAGATGTATTAGGACTTCTGATACAGCTAATGCTCCTCCACCTATTTGGTTTTTTTCAAATTGAAACAATATAAGTCTTTTAATTAAAAAAAAAAAAGATTCATTTTAAAATAAATTATGTGTTCCCTTTCTTGTCGGTTTCCGTACTTTTATTAAATAAGCTGCAACGTTTTATAGCACCGTTTTTCAAAGAACTTTTGTGACTGGGGGATTCTGGGAGATGAAGCTCACAGAGTTTCAAGTTGCTGAGGTTGAGCAATACTGATTTAAGAGTAATCTGCCTGCTCAAGTTTGAAGTTTGTTCTCTCTCTCTTCGCATGAAAGAGGAGAACAGCAGTAAGGTGGCAGCCTTTACTGACTTGGCAGATTCGAGAACAAGTTACGTAGGCCGAGTCAGTCTTCACCTTTCAAGGTATGGGGAGGCGGTTTACGAAAGCTCCTCCCGCCCTGCCCGGATCCCGGTACCGTTGGTAGGCTGCAAGTCCACAGTGAGTGAATCGCGCCGACGTGGAGCATGGCGGAGTCTCAGGTTCTTTGCCTGGAGGATACTCACGTGAACGAACGGATCAGTGAACATAATCCGCGATACTACTACAGCGAGGAGCAACGGCGGGCACTGGAGGTCCTCGCGGCCGACGGGGAGAAAGCGTATAAGTCGCAGCTGAAGACAGAGCAGCTGCCTGACTTCCTTTCCAGCAGAGAGTTGGAGGTCTTGCGGGACGGTTGGCGTGCTTACGATGCCCACTTGGAGACTGGCAAAACGGTCACCGGACCTTCAGGAAAACCCCTTTCACTGTCTTACTGGCCCGAACGCTCCGATACGGAGATCCCTCCGCTGGACATGGGGTGGACTCATAACTATTTCTACCGGGGAGCCACGCGTCTGGCTCTCTACACGCACCCGCGCAAGGAAGACAAGGCGCCCCACGTCAAGCAAGTGGTGCGTGAAACGATCCAGCAAGCGAAGAAGGTGGGTAGTTCGCCTTTGCGCCTTTCAGATCTAAGGGCAGCTCTCCAGCCAGCCAGCCAGCCAGCCAGCCAGGGCCAGCGAAGTCCTCTGCCTTCTGACCTACCTCGACGTAAGAGCTAACTTGCCCCATAATTCCTCCAACTTGAGCGAGGGATCTCTTCCTTTCCTTCACCGACGCGGACGTTACCTCTCGAAAAGGTAGCGTTTGCACCTCGCCAGGAATCGAAATCTTGTTTAATCAGTTTCAGCGTGTTGTGAAACCTGCCGCTGTAATTTATTCGGTAAATTATATACAGTAGCTGCATATGGTGTACGCGGGTCTGTGCAACAAGCATACTGGGACATTTATAGAAAGTTTTATTTAGATTTACAAAATCAAGTTGAGTGAATGTTGTTCCAGGCTCTAAACATTTCATGTCCACTAAAGTCCCTTTTCTAATAAACCAGCACTTTATCTTTTTTCTGCTTAAAGCTACCAAAGGTTCTGTGTATTTTAAAGAAAGATTGCTTAATTTGCCTCTGGAAGGAGCTTAAGGATATATAGCTTATAGAATCTTACGAAAAACCAACTCTACAGAACAGGCCCTAACATGTTCTTTGAAGCGATCTGTGTTTTTTTAATTTTCAACAGCAAATTTTTCATTATTCCATGCAAATTTCTCTGACTCAATATACACAGATCCTAAATTTACCTTTTAAAAAGTCAGGTAAACTATTTTAATTATTACAAAGTGCAGCCATTTTCCTTATGCATTCAACCAAATTGAAATAAATGGTAATGACATTAAGAATTTATGGATTGTGTCAATATTTTTTTAAATTATTAAACCACACTTTCATCTGTTTCTTCTGAAAGCTCATGTTTTATATATTGCCCATAGTAATTTTACAAGATAGAAAAGATACCTTCCAAGAACATTTGAATGGGATTTATCCTTCCAAGGGAGAGTATCTGGTTGATCTTGTCTGGGCTAAGGAAATAATTAGGGTCAGACATTAGTAAATACTTAAGAGACCTCTGGAAGAAGATAAAAGTTCTCCTTGAATCTAGTACTCCAGTACTTTGCCATTATCACTTTTAGGATTTGAGGGCAAGATCTTGGCAATGTTTTAGTTAGAGCAACAAATCAAAAAGTCACAAAATATTAAAACTGCTTTTAAGTTCATTAGGTTGCTTATTAACAAAGCAGTGTTTATGTAAAAACTGTAAAGTCTTTAATAAATAGAGTTTCTAAAGGGATTACTGGTTAGGCAATACCAGGTGTTATAGAAGTAGCAAGGACTGTGTTTGCATATCACATCCACAAACTAGCCTAATGTATTTTGAGAACCTGGCAGTTAATATACACTCAGTAGTTGGGTTGCTGGTTATCAGTTGTCAGGAAAAGCTACTGGAATTTATATTGAATGGAGTAACACTTAGAAATTTAAATACTCATATCTTGAATATATGTTCAGGAAGGCCTGGGAAACCAGTTACCTTTTACAATTCTCACCTTCCTTTACTATTGGCCATGTGAGCTGGAGCTGCTATGAATATAGTCCAGCAACATTTGAAAGATCAAAATATGCCTAATCTTTATTCTAGAGTCAAACACACATCATCACAGCGGAGTGACGTATCTGGACTTTCTCCCTCCCTTTGCTAAACTGGGTATGGGCGTGGCCAGCGCATGATGCATCCAGCCCATGGGCCAGGAGTTTGACAGCCCTGTTCTAGAGGAAAGGGATGTCTTCTTTAAAAGATAATATGACAACTTTAAGAATATTTTGCAGACTAATCCAGCCCTTGCAGGTTTTTCTGTAAGTAGCTGTTCTAGATAATTTGTTCTTCAGAACTATCTAAAATAATATAATACGTAGATTCTGAAATCTTAAGGTGAGGTTTTTTTTAAGAATTCAATTTTAATTCTTTTTCTACTTGAAAACAGCTTCTGGACTTTGTCCTTGAGGTGGAAAAAAAATGAAACCTTGATTTTGGGTTTTACCAATAGATAGGCTTGTTGTTATAGAAATGGCTAGCTTATATTATTATGTAAAAATAAAAAGTTGAGGTTTGATGCTATTCTACTACATCAAAGGGAGTCAGAGATCATTGCCTTTTTTCCCCCCTTTGCCCTACACCCGTGATGGCAAACCTATGGCATGCGTGCCACAGGTGGCACACGGAGCCATATTAGTGGGCACGCCAGCTCAGCTCTGGGGCGCATGCGCGCGCCGGCCAGCTGATTTTCGGGCCTTCTGGGCCCACCAGAAGTAGGGAAACAGGCTGTTTCCTGCCTCTGGAGGGCCTGGGGGCGGGGTGGGGAAGGCCCGTTTTTCTTTCTTACCTGGCTCCAGATCCTCTCTGTGTATCTGGGAAGGGCGAAAACAGCCTTTCCCACTCCCTTGGAGGCCCTACGGAGGCTGAAAGGGCCCATTTCCCGACTCCCGGTGGGACAGGAAGTGATGTTTTTTCCTGTCCCCAGCCTCCAGAGACTCCTAGAGAGGCTCCTAGAGACTCCTAGAGAGGTTCTGGAGGCTGGGGGCAGCAAAAAATGTCACTTCCTGTCCCACCGAGAGTTGGGAAATGGGCCCTTTCAGCCTCCGTAGGGCCTCCAAGGGAGTGGGAAAGGCTGTTTTCGCCCTTCCCAGATACACAGAGAGGATCTGGAACCAGGTAAGAAAGAAAAACAGGCCTACCAGGCCATCATGTGCCAGGAGCAGGGAGGGGGGAGGGGTTGCGCACACATGCGCGTGGGCACGTGTGCGTGCGACCCTCCCCCGCCCCCCCCGCTCCTGGCACGCAATGGCAAAAAGGTTAGCCATCACTGCCCTACACTTTTCCCTTCCCTCTCCCCTCTTATTTTCCTACTATTTTCTGTTGTATTTTTGTATTTTAAATTATAAACTAATAAATAAACAAAATATACAAAAAGAATCTAAATAAGAATTTAGTTTTAATTCTTATGAATTCATTTTAAGAAAGCTGATTGGCATTGCAGTGGGGCAAAAAAGTATTTAGTCAGCCACCAATTGTGCAAGTTCTCCCACTTAAAAAGATGAGAGAGGCCTGTAATTGTCATCATAGGTAAACCTCAACTATGAGAGACAAAATAAGAAAACAAATCCAGACAATCACATTGTCTGATTTGGAAAGAATTTATTTGCAAATTATGGTGGAAAATAAGTATTTGGTCACCTACAAACAAGCAAGATTTCTGGCTCTCATAGAACTGTAACTTCTTCTTTAAGAGGCTCCTCTATCCTCCACTCATTACCTGTATTAATGGCACCTGTTTGAACTTGTTATCAGTATAAAAGACACCTGTCCACAACCTCAAACAGTCACACTCCAAACTCTACTATGGTAAAGACCAAAGAGCTGTCAAAGGACACCAGAAACAAAATTGTAGACCTGCACCAGGCTGGGAAGACTGAATCTGCAATAGGCAAGCAGCTTGGTGTGAAGAAATCAACTGTGGGAGCAATAATTAGAAAATGGAAGACATACAAGACCACTGATAATCTCCCTCGATCTGGGCTCTACGCCAAATCTCACCCCATGGGCTCAAAATGAGCACAAGAATGGTGAGCAAAAATCCCAGAACCACATGGGGGACCTAGTGAATGACCTGCAGAGAGCTGGGACCAACGTAACAAAGGCAACCATCAGTAACACACTACGCCACCAGGGACTCAGATCCTGCAGTGCCAGACGTGTCCCCCTGCTTAAGCCAGTACATGTCTGGGCCCGTCTGAAGTTTGCTAGAGAGCATTTGGATGATCCAGAAGAGGATTGGGAGAATGTCATATGGTCAGATGAAACCAAAGTAGAACTGTTTGGTAGAAACACAACTCGTCGTGTTTGGAGGAGAGAGAATGCTGAGTTGCATCCAAAGAACACCATGCCTACTGTGAAGCATGGGGGTGGCAACATCATGCTTTGGGGCTGTTTCTCTGCAAAGGGACCAGGACGACTGATCCGTGTACAGGAAAGAATGAATGGGGCCATGTATCGTGAGATTTTGAGTGCAAACCTCCTTCCATCAGCAAGGGCATTGAAGATGAAATATGGCTGGGTCTTTCAGCATGACAATGATCCCAAACACACCGCCTGGGCAACGAAGGAGTGGCTTCGTAAGAAGCATTTCAAGGTCCTGGAGTGGCCTAGCCAGTCTCCAGATCTCAACCCCATAGAAAACCTTTGGAGGGAGTTGAAAGTCCGTGTTGCCCAGCGACAGCCCCAAAACATCACTGCTCTAGAGGAGATCTGCATGGAGGAATGGGCCAACATACCAGCAACAGTGTCTGCCAACCTTGTGAAGACTTACAGAAAACGTTTGACCTCTGTCATTGCCAACAAAGGATATATAACGAAGTATTGAGATGAATTTTTGATATTGACCAAATACTTATTTTCCACCATAATTTGCAAATAAATTCTTTCCAAATCAGACAATGTGATTGTCTGGATTTATTTTCTCATTTTGTCTCTCATAGTCTCTACTTATGATGAGAATTACAGGCCTCTCTCATCTTTTTAAGTGGGAGAACTTGCACAATTGGTGGCTGACTAAATACTTTTTTGTCCCACTGTATATTAACATATTATAAGGAGATTAGAAGTACTAGCACTATGTCTGAGATTAGTAATGATAACAAATGGCTGTGGGGCTTGGGTCCTCTGGCT